CACACACACACACACACACCCTGAAGATCTATGCAGTTACCTTTGGCAGTAACACTTGAAAAGAACCGCCCTTCCTGGGTTGAAAGCACATTTTGATGGCTTGTAAGCTTTTGTCTGATACAGAATTCCCTCCTATGACCAGGAGGTGGCACTACCGAACCGAAATAAAAGTTCAGAGGCATGCTTGCACCAAAGCAAGGGGAAGCTGTCTCCTGATACTAAGACACTTTCAGAAGGTGAGGGGTGGGTGTGTTGTTAACAAGCCAGTGAGTGGTATTCCCAGCCACAGAATCACAAACAGCACATCCAAGCCCCTGAGATCATCATTCAATTGTCTAATTCTGCCATTAACCCCCCCCCCCGAGGCAGTAGAGTAATAGCATTTTTGGTATTTCTCTGAGCAGAGGGAGCCCCAATACTGTGATTTAATAATAACAATATGCCTGTCCCACCAACCCCCATGTCTGGCTTTATACACGTTGTGTTTCCAATGAAAACTAACTTCATAATCACACCCCCACCCCCAGCTGTTGTGTTGGAACCAACTCCAGCAGCAGGTTTTCCAAGGCCTTAAATCCCATGGGAGGAGACCGCCCATCCTCCTTCTGCGTAGCCACAGGTGGGTTCCAACTCCCAGAGGAGCTGCCATCTTCGGGGAGCCCCTTTACCCTCCCCATGGGCTGCTCCCCCAGAGGTCCTAATGGAGAGGAGGAATTCCCCACAGGTTACGGCAACTCCTCCCTGAAGCCGCACAGAGCTGGGCCATACCTCCGCAGATCAAGCAGATGGCACTGAGAAGGCCCGTCTCGGTGTCGTCCATTTCCAAAGGCAGGAGCTGGTTGGCAAAGGTGAACACGAGGTCGGTGAGTGGACCAAATCCAGCATTGTGCATCTGAGTTCGATTTAGGGTAAGGCCATCGGAGAAGGTCATGGTGTCCTGTTCTGGGGTGTACCTGGTGCAGATTCTGAGAATCTGGAAGAAGAAAAACAACACTTTTGAAAGGATCCTCTAAGCCGATCTAGCCAGGCACTGACACGGACATCCAGAGAGCTCACAGACCACCCTGGGCCCACAGCCCCGGCCCAGGAGGAGCGCTGAAGTCCAAACACAGAGGCTGAAGCTATTTAAGGCGTAATGAATAGGACACAAGGAAACTGAAGACACAACTGCTCCAAGTCATTCATCATGATTCAAGTAAACATTCGCTGAGGACCTACTTATGTCCCAGGCACAGAGCCAGGTGTCTTGGATACAAAGAAGAAGTTACTCTTTAAAGAACCCAGAGTCTACCAAAAAGAGACTTCATACCATTTATTAAAGGCTTAGTGTATGTCAAGTGTTACACATGTTTTCAAACAACTGGCTACAGCAACTTTAATTATCATGTTACAGATGAGCGGCTTGTCGCTCTGAAAGGTCAAATGGTGTAAAAAGATTCATTTTACAGATGAAGAAGGGAATGGGCCAGTACTAGATTTGAATTCCAGCTAACCATCTCCACAACATGTGCTCTTAACCACCCCAAAGCTACCCTGCCCACGATTTAAGTCACTATTGAAACCAGCTGCCACTGTGAGATCGCTCAGGTGGGCTCTGGGCCAGTGCTGGTTTAATCCTCGCCCCTCCTGCCCCCTGGGTTGGGTCATTTTGTACAGTAAGTAAACACCCTCGCACTGTCCACGGCAGGTATTTTGGTGTACGGGAACACACAGCCCCGTGGGTTGGAAGCAGAAAAATGTCTACAAACCTTGCTTGACATTGGAGGGAGAGGAAACCATCTAAACAGGACATGTTTGCAAAGTCCTGAGTATTTCGTTATGTGGATAAGTGGCCCAGTGAGTTGGACAGCTGATAATTAGAGCGCTATCCAGACAGAGATACCTCTTCATTTCATGTGTGAATATTTTGTCTCTCAGATGTTTGTCTCGTCGCGTTGTCCACGTTCCTTCTTGACCATCTGACGCTGTCTACCTCCTGACAGCAGACGAGGGAAAGCTGTTCCCATGTCAGAGCAGTAAGGGAACGTGGAGGTTGTTACATAATAAACCTTTACACTCTCATAGTAGAAAGGTGAGTGTGGTACCCGGGCCACCACTCTCCCAATCCTCAGCTCCGAATCGTTTCACCCACTTAGAGAAACGTTAAGAGATAGTGTCCAACCACACATGTGGAGTGTCTGGGGCCAGTGGTCATGCGATGTCCTAAGTTCCTCGCTCACTGCCCTGCAGTCAGAAATGACTCTAAGCTGACCCTACAAAGGATTTTCAGAGGCTGGAAATCACATGGAGAAAGACTATTCATCTTTCTCCCTTTAAGTGGCTGGCAGATTCTAACTGCCTGCCTTTGGGTTGGCAGCATAACCCCTTACCCACTAGGCCACAAAAGCTGCGGAAAAGTTATTCATATGTTCAACATGTATAGATGCAAACCTTCCAAACATATTTCTAGTCTGGAACCAGACTGGTACCAGAGAAGTGACTCTGGCCTCTGAAGAATGAGAGAAATTGGAGGATTTGCTAGGAAGAAAAGACGACTCGGGATTATGCATCTGAAAGTTGTAAACAGCACTCTTAGAAATCCGTGTCCAAACAGTGTGAGACCAGCACTGCTTTCCAACTCTTCTATTCAGAAGGATTTCCATCCTCAAAAGTTGTAAAATATCTGAAGTGTGATGAAGCGTCGTCATTCATTAGTTGCTTCTCTTCCTAAAAGGTTCAAAGCTACAGCGCGACAGCCAGTGGGGGGAGCTTGTGATGCTTGTACAAAGACATGTTTGAGGGACCCCTGGCACAGCCCCGGTCACCTGCACCCCAGCTCCTGCCTCCAGACAGAAACCAGGCCTTTTCACGGTGTCACACAGAACTCACATGCTAGTGGCGACTACCAAGTTCTTCTCCAGGATGAACGTACCCTTTGTTTCTGAGAAGGGCACTCTATCTGGGAAGACTTGCACGCAGGTCCCATGAGACGTGTAAAAATAGTCCAGGAGAAGCTGACTGATGAAAGGAGGATCCCGGGGGCTCAGACAAAACTCCTGTTCATGCTGCTGCGTGGACCCACCTTGAGGTAAAGAGCTGACAGCAAAGGCAACTGCGGGTGGACTCCACGTGCTCGGTGGAGGTGAGAGACCCGGGAGGAGGTGAGCTTGGGGCAGCTGGAGCCAGGGGCTGGCCCACTTCCTTCCTCGGTCCTGCAAGTACCCCAAGCCCACCTTCATCCTCCAAGTGGTCCCCCTCTCGCGTGTCCTCAGACAAGAGCATCCACAACCCAGCACACACGTTCATCAGCATTGATCTCTCCCAGCCGTCCATCCTCCCAATGGCTTCTCAGCAGTTTTAGAGGAAAACTCAAACACTTGAAGCGTGTCGGCAATGTTAGGAACGGCGCAGGACCGGACAAGGCTGAGATCTGGTGCTCACCGGGTTCCTATGGGTCGACTTGACTTGATGGCACCTAACAGCCATCTGCCTGTGGCATCTGTGGCCTCCACGATCCTTGCAAATGCCCACTGCTGCCCACTCCCCACGCTCACTGCCCTCTGGCCCTGCCTGCCTGCTTTCTGACTCTCCAAGGACTCTGTGTTTGCATTTCTTGTCTTGGACATTGCTGCTTTCCTTAGTCCTTAGGCAGCTAGCTCCTCTCTGTGCAGGTTTTTGCTCCAAATCCCCCGGTACCCGTGACCACCCTCCTGACAACATACCTCCCAACCCATCGGGCTGATAATTAGTAGTAGTAGTAGTAGCAGTAATAATAGTAATAATAATAATAATAATAAATAATATTGATTGCCTTCGAGTCGAGCATGACTCAATAGCGACCCTGTGAACAAAAGGCCTGAAGCTCCTCTACAACTATTGACAGTTATCAAAGTTCATGGAGTTTCCGGAGACAGGTTGTTTAGGAAGTGGATGCCACTCCTGCTTCCTAACCTGTCATAGAATGTTATTGGTTGAGTCGCCTGCAATGCATAGCGACCCTGTGTCCAGCAGCTCTGAACCCTTGTCCTGAGCCAGTCTCACTAACTCTGACACACCAACTCCCATCGCCCCGGTTACTGTATCAAACATATCATCATCATCATCAATACAGAGTTCATTTTAAATTTAAGTGGAATATACTTGGTGGTTTAAAAGATGGCCACAAATTGGACACTTTTCCCTTTAAAAAGTAGGACTGCCCTTCCCTACCCTCACAAGTGGGAAAGCTCAGAGAACTCTGGTGGTCTGGTGGTAAGGAACTGCTCTGTCAACCCAAAGGCAGGTGGTTCGAATCTGCAGTCCCAAAGGCACGTAATTTGAATCCAACAGAAGCTCCGTGGGAGAAGGATGGGCAGTCAACTCCCATGTGATTCACTGCTTTTGAAAACCTGCTGGAAGGTTCTGACCCGACTGTCCGTAACGTCTACCACCACCCTGGCGTGGGGACTGGACTTAGGGACTCCTTCTAATGAGTGGAGTGCAGGGACAGTGTGATTTCGGAGAGGGAGTCCTACGTGGCTTGGTGGCCCCCTTGCTCTTGAATCTTTTACTCTGGGGAAAGTCAGGTGATACGTCCTGAGGCTTCTCAAGAAACCTCATCCACCTGCAGAAGCCCCTCAGCAGCCGTGGGCACTGCTCGGCCAGGCGGTGAGGAGGCCCCGGCCCCAGTCAAGCCGTAGGATGCTGCGGCTCCGGGTGCTGCCGTGAGGACACTTCCCCTGAGACTCTGAGCCTGAACCACCTCACTGAGGCCCCCTGGACTCCACCCCCAGGGATGCTGTGAGCAAACAATGCTGCCTGTAACTAAGTGACTATGTTTTGGGATCATTCATTAACAGGACGAGCGAGCACGAGTCAGCACACCTACCTTTAGCCAAGCACACACGTCAGCTGTAGACAGCTGGAGGGAAATGTGCATTTCACACTGAATGTGGGAGCAGCTGTCACCCGGATCCCGACCTGGGCGTCTCCCTACCACCAGAAGTCTCCTTCATCTATTCTGGAGCTCCCTTGATGTGATCTTTAACCCTGTGGATTCTTGTTGTTATGTGCCGTGAGTCGCCTGCGACTCCTAGCGACCCTAGGTACAACAGCCCTAAACCCTGCTCTGTTCTGTGCCAATCGCACTGTCTCTGACACTCCCATCCCAATTATCCCAGTCACTGAATCAATCCACCTTATAGAGGGCCTTCCTCTCCTGCACTGTCCCTCCACCCTCCCAAGCATGATGTCCTTCTCCAAGTACCGGTCTCTCCTCACAACATGTCCAAAGTATGTTAGATGGAGCCTCAGAATCCTTGCCTCCAAGGAGCCACCTGGTTTAACCCTTTCCAGGACAAATCTGTTTGTTTTCCTAGCAGTCCATGGTATTCTCTATACTCTTCTCCAGCACCACAGCTCAAAGGCATCAATTCTCCTTCTATCCTCCTTGGTCATTGTCCAACTCTCTGATGCATAACAAGTGATTAGTTTTGCCTTTCTTTGAAGTTTGCCGTTGTGTGGCATCAAAGTCAGAACTGACCCATAGCTGACCCACCAGTGGGTTTTCAGAGGCTGTAAACCACACGGGAGGAGACAGCCCCTTTTTCTCCCACGGAGCAGCTGGTGGATTTTAATGCCAGTGTCTCTGGGATTGCAGCGCAGCTTCTTACCACTAGGCCACCAGAGCTCTTCTGAAGTTCGGATAAAGAGAATCCTACAGGATAGAAGGAGAATTGATGCCTCTGAGCTGTGGGGCTGGAGAAAAGTATTGAATATACCATGGACTGCCAAGAAAACAAACAGATTCATCCTGGAGAGGGTGAAGCCAGAATGCTCCTTTGAGGCAAGGATTCTGAATTTTCATCTGACATACTTTGGTCATGTTGTAAGGAGGGACCTGTCCTTGGAGAGGGATGTCATGCTTGGGAGGCTGGAGCGACGGTGCAGGAGAGGAAGACCCTCTATGAGGTGGATTAATTCAGTGACTGAGGTAGTGGGGGTAGGTGTGTTGGG